CTGGGAGATGTAAAAACATTATGTATGGTTATCATCGGGAAGTCCCCGTTGTGCAGCAGATTCGAAGTTCTTCTTCTTCTTTTTTTCTTCTTCTTCTTTTTCTTTTTTCTTCTTCTACTTCGTCTTTTTCTTCTTTTCTCTACCCCTGTATTGCCTTGCCCCGCCAGGACAGGAAGAGATATCTGGAACAAGGCCCTTCTGTTCGCTTCATATACAACACTTTTCAGTGTCTCTGATATTTCTTTGGTCCATGTTCTGCGTGGTGGTCCTCTCGTTCTGTTTAAATCCGAATGTATCCGCAGTTTTTTTTTAAATTGCCTTGGTTCTCAGGTCAACCCAGGGGTACCAGGAAAAGTCCAAGGAAGTAAATGCTGCCGGTATGACGTTGACTACACAAAATATAGGTCTAACACTATATGACCAATTCGTCTGAAGACATGAACAAAAGTCCTTTTATTGTTAGCACTTTAAGTTACAACGTACCGAGTTTGAAACCCACTGATGGCTGCGCGAATTTGTATCGTGGTATTGGGCGTCGCAGGTCGACCCAGCTTAAAATGGGTACCAGGATGTACGTCCTGGGGAAGTGAAGACGGCCGGCGTAATGCTGACCACATTACCCACATAGTGCCAAATGGTCTGTAAAAAATATGGGTGTTCTTCCCAAATGCCTGATGCGCCTGGGACGTAAAAAGGTATCTTTACTTTACTTGCTTTTTTTAAGTACATTATGGGCAAATAATCGGTATGTGAACAATTATGTGTCGCAGTTACAGAAGTTTATGTATCTAGGCCCGTTGATAACATCAGATGGTAGATGAGGCACATTGATAACATCAGATGGTAGATTCGGCACATTGATAACATCAGATGGTAGATGCGGCACATTGATAACATCAGATGGTAGATGCGGCACATTGATAACATCAGATGGTAGATACGGCACATTGATAACATCAGATGGTAGATGCGGCACATTGATAACATCAGATGGTAGATGCGGCACATTGGAACATCACATGATATATGCGGCACATTGATAACATCAGATGGTAGATGCGTCACATTGAAATATCACATGGTATATGCAGCATATTGATTACATCCCAGATGGTAAATGCGGCACACTGATAACATCAGATGGTAGATACGGCACATTGAAACATCACATGGTATATGCGGCACATTGATAACATCAGATGGTAGATGCAACACATTGAAACATCACATGGTATATGCAGCACATTGATAACATCACATGGTAGATGCGGCACATTGATAACATCAGATGGTAGATGCGGCACATTGATAACATCAGATCGTAGATGTGTCACAGAGATCAAGAATAGGACAGGCTAGAATTATATTTTATAAAATGGTGAATATTTTATGCTTCACATCATTCCGTGTCAGCGGAGGTTAGAAACAGATTTCTTCCATGCAAGTTAGAGCCAGTTTTAACATATGGCCGTGAGTCTCGGATTGTAATAAACAATTTCTTCTGTGTGGATCCCTGGGCTCCATTCTTGGGGAAAGCAGAAATAGATCCATTGCCTGCCCAAAAGCATGTCGTAAGAGTCGACTAATTAGGCGCTTTCTTTGAAGTGGGAGTACATCTGCCTGAGGGGCAAGGAACCAACAGTCTGCATGCAAATAACCTAGACCTGTGAAACTGATATACACGCAACAGTTTCTAGAAAAGAACTAGAGTCCAGAATTGGACGAACAACTAGAACTTTTCCCCTGGAGTTTACAGCCAGCGAACGCAAAGAAGAAGTAGAATTTCTTGAGACCTAGAAGTAGCCTTTTTTACAAAATAACCCTTATAATTCTTAGGACAGCTTAAAAAAAAAGCAACCCAGATGTTTTGAAAGAAGCGATGGCTGTAAAACAACTTATCACAAAGATTACAAAATGACAGTCATATTTTGTGTAGTCATGTTATAAGAAGGAAACTGGATCATGTAGTGTCCATTGGAAAGATAGGTGGACAAAGAGGCAGAGGAAGACAACGCGAGACGATCTTTGACAGTCTTTTGTTGTGGTATGGATGAGTCTGAGTACATGAACTGTTAGTTATATGTTGGTATTCCGGGAGTATTGTGTGCACATCCGTTTACATATCTGCCTTAGTTGTATGCAGACTGTTATTTCCTCGCCTGTCGAACAGATGCATTCTTACTTCTAAGGAAACACCAGTTAGATGTCTTTTGCGACATGCTTGTTATGGGGAAGGGGTCAGAGGGTCTTTATTTTTTTCCAGATAACAGTATCACAGAAGTCACACGGAGAAATTGATGGGTAAATAGAATTATTTATTGATTAATAGGTGAATAGATAATGATTAGTGGATGAGAAGATATATGGATTAAAGAGGGGTAGGAGGGTTTGCGGATGAATGGAACAATGAAAAAAATGGAAATATAGAAAGATGGATGCATGGATGAAATGACAGAAGTGTGTAGGGCGGGGCGGATAGTTGGGCTGGATTGAGTACAAATGAATGCGTGCATGTATGAATGGCTGAATTAGTGAGCGGTTGGATGGAGATATTCATGAGATTGTGAACAAATCAATGTGTCAATAAATCACACCGAGTGAGACTGACCACTTTTCCGTGGGGTATGCAGTAGGGTTAGGACATAGATACTTTGACCGCTCCTCACTGGTGGGTGGTGAATTCATGCATGCAAGCTAGATCTTATCTAGATGCTTTGAGAGAAAGTAAACAATGAGGAAACTGAGGGGGTGGGGGGGGGGGGGGACATTTTCATAGTCAGAAGCGAATGGTATTGCTAGAAATCACCAGGGATCAGGTCGACACTGTAAACTCTGAGGAAGCACGACAAAAATATATGGTAATCAAACTGTTAATGGCTCCATAGGAATTGGAACTCTGCAAAAGATGATGGTTAAGGTTAGTTGCGTATCCTTTACAGGACGTTGCAGAACCAACCCCAACAGTCCCTGGCTGTTGTGTGGTTTTTCTAGGCAAATTTACGTCAAGTAGTTTGCCATTGCTTTCTGGACGGTCGACCTCCTGTCGAAACCAACGCAAGGCCCATGGCCCGCGGGATGGGATCGAACTCGGCACCCCGGCATTACGAAGCGTTCGCATCGACTTAGCCAGAGAGCCGACAAAAGATGATGACAATGCGCTAATTTAAATGTCTTGAGTGCTATTATGTCAGTTTTTATTTCAACATTTAACTTACTTACCTTTGAGTTTAACTGTGTTACTCGGTGAAAGCTCTTCATTCTGTCTGCTTGATAGACAAGGATCAATGCTGAATTTCTCCCAGCCTGAATCAGTTAGTTGCTCTCTTCCTAACCCACCACTGACACCAGTGTGCTCCAAAGACAGCAGACCATCTCCAGTATTTCCACACTGACGACCAACTTCTTCCCACAAAGCAACATTGTGAGGTGATTCTTTACGCTTCCTTAAGTCATGATGTTCTTCCAGCTGCCGCTTCTGCTGCCTCAGCTGATGCTGGTCGTATCTCTGGAGGATATCATTCGGTGAAGTCAAGCTTTCCCACGCGGAGTTGACTTTTGGAAGAAACAGTGCTTCAGTGTTAGGATGCCAAACCGAACATGATTTTACACTAGGTTGCCATGTTGAATTTACTTTATGAACATACATTATTTCTCTGTTTGGTTGATACACAGCACATGATTTTACGTTCAGTCGCCTTGCAGAAGTCTCTTTTGGAGCAGATTGTATTTCTGTGTTAGACTGAAAACCCGAACTTAATTTTATGTTCTTTTCCCATGCAGAACTGTTTTTTGGAATCAACAGTATTGAGTTGTTAGGCTGATGAACGAAAAATGATTTCACATCAGGTTTCCATTCTGTTATGTCACTTGAAGCAGACAATATTTCTGTATTACGCAGACAAATTGAAGGTGTTTTTAAATTCAGATTTGGTTCCACAACTGTGTCATTCTGTGTGTGATTTCTTTCACCAAGTCCATGGCTGTAGGAAACTACGTTAATGTCCTGCAGGAGATTATTCTTCTCATTATGATCTCGTGTTCTGTTTGCAGCATTGGTAGTGTCATTTATTTTGCCATTAGTATATCTATAGTTGTTTAGATCATCTTTGTCAAGCTTTCCTATACACACTTCCGATTCTGGTAGTCGACCATCGCAATGATGATGGTGGCTACTGGGATGATGATGGTGGCTACTGGGATGATGATGGTGGCTACTGGGATGGCGATGAGTATAAGAGTTCTTATTGCTAAGATTTTGAAAGTCTAGAAGATCTTTTATCAAGAATCCTGTCACCTTTTTGTGCTCCATGTGGGAAAGTTAACACTTTCGTCTGTTACTTTCTATATCAACATAATATAAACAGATTTATCTGTTACTGTTGTGGTTATTTTATGAAGACGTGTGGTTATCAGACTAGGGCATAGCATGGCACAAGGGCCATGTGAGGCCCGCGGAGCAATGTTTACTGTCATGTGACACTAAGCCAACATAAAAACACAATGTGATCTCATAAAAAACAATAAAGTCTAAAATTAACTCTCCAGTAAAATGTAAGTAAAGATCCCTTTTCACGCCTTTAGGCGCATTGGGTATATGGGAAGAGGACCCATATTTTTCAGACCATCGGCACTATGTGGGTAACGTAAGTTAAATAAATTAAAAGACATTTTTCTACGCTTTTGGCGTATCTAGCATATAGGGCTAAATCTATATTTTATAGACCAGGTGGTACTTGGTGGGTGATGTAGTCAGCAACACTCGGGCCGCCTTTACTTCCCAAGATTGAACCTGGTACCCACTCAAGGTTGAGTCGACTTAAGAGCCAAGATCATTTATGATTTATGAAAAATATCCGGCTCCCTTAGGACGTAAACCTACGACCTTCCGATCTACAGACGAGCTTCCAGACGCTTATCAACGGTGACACCCTGGGCATGAAGGATTAGATATATTTTATAGACCAATCGGCACTCAAACAGAGTCTTACGACGAATCTTTG